ACCTTAGTACTTGGATGAGAGACAACTTGATTTTTTTTCAATGCCTTGCAACCAGAATGTGACTCATTAATGGGTCACTTCAATACTCACTTGATTGGTTTGTAAATCCTTTATATAGGATATCTGGTAACATGAAATCTAAATAAGATTCAGGAAAGAGTGGAATGAAGACAGACAACTAATGCTGAAGCAAATAGCTTTACTGAAACAAACTAATGCATTTTATAAAATACTTGAATGATAATCTGGAAGTAGAGTTATTTCTCTACAGGAGACAACAGTAACTGACTCATTTCCTGTCTCAACAGGTTACATCTTAAAATAGAATACATGACATTTACACTTCACAGGCTTCTGTGAAAATACACATGGAACATGTTTTACAAAACGAGGCAGTAAAAAACACCCCTCCCCATGTACAACTCTGTTAATACTTGATAATGAATAAAATAAATCCATTCTCCATTGGACTGATGACAGCAGATATTTGAACTGGTAACATCCAAGAAAACTAGGATTTCTCTGTCTGCAGGCTCACACCACAACAAGAGGGATGACATCTGAAGGCCACCATTTCCCAGTAACAAGTGTAACATGATAAAGAGAGGGGTGAACAATTTGTAACACATTTCATAAATGTACAATAAACATTCCAAAAAACATTTACCTAATTAGCAATGGCAACACACAACTATTCAAATGTCCTCGCAAACAAAAAAGTGCAATGCAAAACTTTCAGTTGAAGAGTAAAGAAACAACTGGGTACACAGTGTGCATTAAAAATCTCAAATGGATTCTTTTAAAAATCCTCTATACACTCTGGAAAAAAAAAATAGAAGATACATAATCAACCTTAACCTCTATAGTATTACAGCAGAATCATGTCTGTAATGCAGAGGTTACTTTGTCAAAGCACCTTAAGAAATAGGCTGGTAAAAAAAGTTAAGGGTAAAAGCTGTATTCTGTACTAAATTCAATGTTAAGAGATGCAGTCAATAGTTGCAGTTACAGGGGCATCACCAGTGGATTAAATGGCATTGTCCCCACTTAAAGAAATACTTCATCCATATACTATCACCATGTTGTCTGGAATGCTGGTGGAAACTTTTATACTCACTTATGTGAGCAGTCTCTTGACATACTGAAGATCTTAATAGTAAAATATTCAAAACTGTTAAGTTGTTACAATGTCAAAACACAAGGGCTTCATATCAAAGCTAAAATACTTCTACCATTAATCATCAGGGTGTTCCTGGTATCTTAGTCATTTCTTTTTGAAAAACAAATGTAGTGATGTGAAAAAATTTGGGTGCCCTTGAGTACTTGAGTAGAATTTTGGAGTGAAGAAAAGAAAGGAGCACCATGAAAAAAAGGGCACTGCAAGAGATTTGAGCACCGACTTTCACCAAGGTCTCAGTCCTTAATTAGCCTCTTAGGGCTGTGGTTTGTTTACAACCATTGACAGGAAAGGTCTTGTGAATTCAAAATGTATTTACTCATCAAACCTTGTCCCAACAAGCAGCAGCTGCCTATAAGTTTGTAAATTAAGATAATCAAAGCGATTCCTCAGTTCATAATGTAATTATGAAATGGCAGCTCACAGGATTTTGTCCTTTCAGTTAGCCGTTTGCAGTGAAGATCTAAACAAGCCTGAAGCACATTGGAAACAAATCCTGTGGACTGATGAAGTTAAAATTGAACAAAAATAATTTTTAGCGACAATGAGCAAAGGTGCATTTGGAGAGAAAACTGCAGCACTTCATGGAAAGATCACCTGTCAAATTGGTTGGCATGGGGGTGAATCGGTCATGCTTTGGGATTGTGTTGCAGCAAGGGAATATTCTACTGGCAGAGGGAAGAAAGCTTTTTTCCATTGCCAAGAGCTATTGGTCAAAATTGAAGTCACTTTTTCAGAACTCAGTGAGACAGAAGTCTCTGTGGACTTAACAGTGAATATTTTTTCATTGATTTTATACAAAATGTATTCAAAAACCCCACTCATTACCAACTGCAAAACAATATATTTGCAGTTTTTCAAATGGTAACACATTTTTCTAAACTGATAGATGAATGAGTCTCAGAGTTTGATTACACATTCCAGAAGATACTTCCCAAGATCCATCACCACATAAGAAGTAATGTAGATTAGAACTTGTGAACAAACGCAGGACAGGGAGGACTGTAACCTGAATAGTACTGTACAGCATGAGTGATTATACTATATGTGAAAAAAATCATTGAAACTTCAAGGATAAAAGTTCATCACCTGCGTGATTCTCGTAAGTTAGTGTGTAATGAGTGACAGTGTATGCTCTGTGAGTGAGTTGTTTTGTTATGGTCGAACATGCTTTTTTTGAGACATGTATGAAGTGTTTTGATAATTGATAATCTTAGGAGGTGACATGCATGTAGGTGATGCAGACTATATGAAGAGCTTTGAAAAAGTGACTTCAGTATTGACCCATGCTTGTTAACAATCGCAGCAAACTGAAAATCTATCCTAAGAAAATTGTGTGAGCCAACATCACTCTTAAAAAAAAAGCTGAAGATGAGAGAATGGCTTCAAAAACAGTGCAATATTCTAAATACAGCCCAAGACGGATCCAAAAGATTCTTAGCTGCACAAAAAGTGTTCACAAGCTGAGATACTTGCTAAATAACTGACCAGAAGGTGTTACAAGGTGTGACACTTGTGTTTAAGGTCCTCTTTGAAACAGTTAAAGATGGAAATAAAATATTCAAGAAATGTGTCATCTACAAATTTACACATTTTGGAGATCAGTAAACAGAAAGCCTGACCAGGGGTACCCAAACCTTTTCAAGCCACTGTAAGTTTTACAGAGTAATCTCAACTCAAAGGCCACTAGCTTTTTCAGAGCTTCTAAATGCAGTTGGAAGCACAGAGAAAAGTTATAGGACCTTCAAAATGTAAATGTTCTGTCACACTACATTTGACTAATCCTTATCAGAAATGTTTGTTACTGACCAAGATGTGTGTGAAGCACTGGGTACTGGCTGACTCTGATCAGGTCATTCCTCATTATAGCTGAATTTTAGAGTCCAATTTTAGAAGATGTAATTTAGGACATGTTCATACCGCTACAAATCTGAAAAAATCTTAAAAATGGAAAAATGTATTATAAATAATTAATTATTGTTATTGAGCCTGCACTAGTATAGAAAATGTTCAAGCAATAAGCAGTATTTGGAGAATTCTTTTTGTGTGTGTGTTTGCTAAATAATTGTTCTATAACTTCATTTGTAAAAGAAATGGCAGACAATTTTGTGTTTTCTATGAAGGGTGACAAGTACACACACTGTCGCATCACAGTCTGTCCGAGGTAAACAGCTAACTGGTGCAAAGCTTTTGGTTGAAGTATTTATTTAATTTAAAGAAAAATACCACTGCATTTTTAAAATCAGATTCATACCTGTCTTAAGGTATTAAAATGGCTTTATAAACTCACGTTCACTTTTGAGATGTTTTATATTTTCAGCAAATAGTGTAAATAGTATCAGTAGATTCACAGTTCCTGGTGGGAATTGTGTGGCCTGACATGTACCAGTGAAAAAACATACAATAGTAAAAATGGCTCTGCATATCAGCTCAGGTTTGGATCTGAAATGTGGTAGTGCCACTCAGCAAGGCCATTACCAACTGAGCAAAGCAGACAATGGCCTTTAGTTTAGTACCTGGAGATTCTGCTTCACTTAAGTAGACCTCTAGCTTACCACTGACACAAAGCACAACCAAGCACTACATCAGTGTCTTTGCTAGTTTTAGACTGACACAGTTGCTACTTCCTGCTCCCTCCCAACATTATTTGAATAGAATATTCCTCATCTGAGCACCCATGGTGTGTGTCGTTTCTTAAAATGAAGTGTGCTCAGTATTGTTGGTGTATTACTATCTTGAGGCAGTGAAAAGCGATTGTACTTTTGACACAAACCTGGTCTGGAGTGCAGGATTTTATTCTAAGGCTCATTATTAACATATGCACCTACATAGGCGGGTGCACAACAAGTGAATGTTGCTCGTTACACACACAGATGATCTGCTCGTATGCGAAGTCAAACTGTTTCCTTTGCAAAGATTAATTCTCTCTCCTCCAACCTTCTACTAGCAATCCATCATAACCTGGCTATTAAAAGGGAATGGGAGATGGAACTCTGATTGGCTTATTGCATGTTTTACCCCAAACACAATCCTTTTAAAGTACCTGGAACATCTGCCGTTCAACTACCATGAAGTGGACTCGTACATGTCCACATGTGACTACGGGGAGGGAGTTTATTCTCTCCACAGTCACAAGTGCTGTCTATTGTGGGAACTGTTGGGTTTCTCTATATTAAATAAGATTTTAAGGTCTTGACCTTCTATGTAAAGTGCCTTGAGATAATGTATATTATGATTTGGTGCTATACAAATAAAACTGAATTGAATGTTCTAAATGCACTAGCTCCATCAACTTGTCGTCCAAACAGAGTCCTTAGGGTCTTGTGTTATTGTCTAATAGCCTGTTGTCATTTTCAGCCCAGAAAATTGTGATGAGCAAAAACAAAATGATTATGTAATTAATTAAGCAAATATTTGGCAGATAAACTGAAAAAGAAAATAAGTTAGTTCCAACCCCAACTAACTTGCATTGCAACACAAAATTTGGCCAATCTAACCCTTTAAAGAATAACTTGAACACATAAAATATTTTGGCTGTGTCAGGAACTAAAAGAAACTTTGCAAGAGACCAGATGATGTTTTGGCAGAACTGAAATATAATATTTATGATTCTTTTCATTACTGTATTATCACCTGAAATTAAGAATCATTGTGTGTTCAATACCTTAGAATGGCCCTTTATGTCTACATAGGTAGCAGCCCATCATGCTGGTCCCTATTGTTTCTACAGTAGCCCAGCGAAGACAAACTTAAACCCTTTAATGGGAGAGAACGAGTATTCAGTTGGTTGCCATCTGGATCCTCACCACTAGATGCCACTAAATCCTCAACACTGAACCTTTAATTCAACCATTTTAGGGCACAATTTAGACATTTACAAACTGTAAATATGCAGGTACAAATAAATCAACTCTTGCTTTTTGGACAGCTGTCTGTTTCCAAGTCAAAGGCACTGATGGCAGAAGGAAAGAAAATAAAATGATACTATATTATCCTTTAAACTTTAAACACTCAAGTTCACTGAAATGTTTAGTACACATCTATGCCGATCTAATCTTTTTTTTTTTTATTGGTGCCTACTGAATGTGAAATGCCATGACGCAGACTGCCAGGGCTGAACGTCAGCCTACTGAGCTCTGTGTGGAGTCCTATGGAAAAACTAACAGCTGTTGTTTCCACAATAACACTCAAAACAAACAAAGCAAACAGAATTCTCTTTGACAACATCAAAGATGGAGGAGCGAGCAGTAAAAAGTAGAGAACAGTCCAAAGTGGATCTTGAAGGAAGTCATATAGAGCTACACTGCCTCAGTGGCTAGCTGCTAAGTTAAGACAGTGAGCAAAGTTCAGTCTGTCAGTGCTGGTGGTGTCTGGGGGAGGAGACAGGGAGTGAGGGTTACTCCATGATGGCTCTGTAAATCACAGGCTCTATGTAGTCCCCCCTGTAACGCGAGTTGATCACTCTCTGTCTCTTTGACTCCTTGATGATCTCCTTTTCCTCAAAGATCCCATCAAATCTCATGTCTGAAGCTTTCGACTGCAGAGACAAACACAAGGCTGCATGACAACACCGCCACATCTTTTTACATATTTATTTGATGTTCAATGAGTCCACAGGATGGAAGAGAACATACTGGATGAAAAAGTGTGTGTGGATTGTTGCACTCACCAGTCGGGATTTGACTCTCTTTGGCAGTTCCTCATCCAAAGTGTAGACATCATCTCTCTTGGTTGTTAGCTGCGACCCATCCTCGAACTCCACCTGCGTTTCCAGACATATACCACAGAATGCAGTCACTGAGGCTCAAGAACGACAACAGAAAAGCAGCCAACATCACATCAACAGCAGAAAAAAATCATTGAGGGATTTGATCAGATTCAGGCATATGAGTGATCTAAAATCAAATGTTTTATCATTGAGTTTTTTTATGAATGATCCAGACCTGTTGTAGAAGTAGAGAACTGTATATTTCATTTGCTTGAAGCAATTATACATAAATATATAAATTACACCTCATAGTTATGTTGACTTTATTCTGTTTAAATCTGCAATATGAATTCTAATATAATTCTACATCTATCAGTGTATCTGCTAAATGTTGCATTGTCTAGGAGGCGCACAAGATGTTCCATTGTCTGATCCAGGACCAGTAGAAAACATGCTAGTCTAATATTACCTCTAATTACACATATTTTCCATCCAGACCAATAATGGAGACTTTACCATGATATCCTCACTGTTATCAATCACCTAAGTGTGACAAGATGTTTTTGTAAGCCATTTTCATATCAAACTGTTTCTTCTTTTTTTCAGTGAGACAGCATTTCGACACTGCTTTAGTTGGTCGGTGAAATCAGGACTTCAGTCTCTGAAAACTTGCTGCCATTTTTATAAATGAGCACTTCTGACATTGGGCAGAAAGCGTAGCCATACGTGGTACTATTACGGAATTAGTTATGCTAATTTTCTATAATCATGCACACTTGCTCAAATACATACAGCTGGCTTTCATCATGATCACGCAGATAATTTACACACTTTTCTGAAGATAGATGAGTTTGTTGAATCTGAAGTGCCCAGTTCATTCAAACTCACTGTGCGAACAAATGAAGGAGACATTTAAGATGAGAAAAATGCAAACATGTTCTTGCATGAGGCCAAATCAGTGTAAACGTGAGCAACTTTTCTGTGTGTATCGGTTCGGCAGTAAAGACCTGGGGGCATTTTCACAAAACATCCTGCGACTTCTATCCAGATCCTAACTGGCTGAACTGGAAGATAATCTTAAAAATAAGGAAATCTCAGACTTTCAAACTGACAAAGTTTTTGTTCATGAAGCATTTTAACATTAAAACCAGCTCCCAAGTCTAGGAGACATTGGAGGATATGTGAAAACAAACCCACAACAAAAACATTTACTTCTTACCAGGTACATTTGGGTGACATGAGCTGCCACAAATTTGGCCCCATACACCAGGCCGTCTGTCCATCGCACCTGAACTACTTCACCCTGGGGTGGGGGTCCAAGCTGAGCACAGTCTCGGCTCTAACAAATCACAAAGATGAGTGCTCTTAAAAAACAGAACAAAGACATAGATTTCTATATAACGTGTAAAGTGTTAAAATGGACTGTAATATTGACAAACTAATCCCCTTGTGAATTAGAGTAAAAACCCAAATTTTTAACTAATTTACTTTTGTAGAAAATCTAATAAAAAACATTATCAGAGGTGAGGACCAGTAACTTAAAGACTGACACGTTGAATTTCTGGTACATCAAAATCGAATATCCTACATAATATCTCAAAAGAAAATTTTAAATCATGGTTGAGCTTCAAAATACTGAGAGATAAGTAATAATTACTACTAACCAGAGTCATCTCAAATTATCTTTTCATACTCTAATTCATTCCACATCTTTTCCCCATAATAATCATGTCAACATCTGTTCACATATGAGCTGTTCCTCTCTTTATTCAAGAGTGTGGTCTTCAGAGCAGGACGTACTGATGTGTCCTACTCTCGTTGTGGCTGTGTTAGCCTTACTTCTTCGTGAGTGCTGTACAAGCAGTTACTTTAGCTGTGTTCATGCATTACCGTCTTTCAAGGCTTTATTATTACACCAGATTCTAATTGATGTTTGTTATGTGAAATAATAAAATGGACAAAAACAACTTATTGTGTAAATGCCATTATTCGGAGTGGAAAAAGTTGACAGCTGTGGGTAAAGTGGCTGGGAAGTTGTTAACGAAGTTTACAAATGTTTATAGTGCCCCCCTTCATGACAGATAAAGCAACTTGCTCTGTAGATACACTGCTGGAATTTATTCAATTAGTTGGAATATTAGTTTTCAAAAGAGACCACAAGATAATGAACGTTTATCATGGTATGTGTTCACACATCCTGAGCCTCCTGAGCCACAGCTGCCTCACTTTCTACATGTAATGAGTGTCACTTTTATAAATAGTTCCAGCAGCAGCCAAAGAAAGTAGAAAAGCTATGGTGAAGGAATGATAGAGATGTGTAAAAGGTCACATTCAATACAATTAGACATATGGGTGTTTTTCTCACAGATCCATATCCACAAATGTAGAAAACAAGATGAATATATTAAAACCATATCCAGTGAAGCCATTAAGACATAAAGACTGATTGAAATAGCTTAAACAGAACTTTCCATTCACAAGGATATGAAGTAAAAGACAAGTAGAGAAAAGTAACCAGCTAGGGGGTTCAGGGGTATAACCCCTAAGAAAAGTTGACCAAATAATACCAAGCATAATTCAGTGCCTTTTGTACATTATGTTACCACTGTCCTTTCATACACACTGATCTTGACTATGGCATAATTTATTGATACTTTTTACATGATTGTTGACATGCAGTGAGTGACCTAATAGTTTAATTGGGAATTATACATTTACAAAGAACATTCACGATGTTTCACACAAAGATGTAGATAGATAAACCACAAATGGGATCACATCTATGTCACTGCAGGAAGCTTCATTACATCATATTTACTTTACAAAACATGATTTGGAGAATCTGACATGACAACTAAATAATGTTTATAGAGGAGAGACATGAGTAAGTGTCTCTCCTCCCTGCAACTGTGACTGCAGGTACCATTTCTATGCCTGAGCCACACTGGTTGCATGTGCGACGACCGTGCCACTGATCTGCTACGTTTCACAGGCATCTGTTGTTCCCACAGGAAGCGTGTCTGCAGCGGAGCTGCTTCGTGACGTTTCTGGTATAACTACTTTATTACCTTGAATAAAAGGTTTATGTATACAACTAAATGTCACTACAGTGTTGTTACATAAAAATAATCAAAACCTTGTTAAAAACAAAAGGAATTGTTTCAGTGAAAAGGAGACAAACATAACAGCATATGCAAACTGTATATTGGTCGAGGAATTAAAAAAACAAATGGGAATTTGTCATGATTCATCAAAACTGGAGGAGACCCTACAAACCACACCCCAAAACCAGGGCTTTACTTTCACTACAACCCTATTTGGAAGTGCATGCAACTGCAATTTGAAAAAAATTAACCCTACTACAGGATTCCACAATTCTATCAACTGTGAGCTGTTTATTGTTTCCTTTAAATATCAAACTAGTGACACTTACCACAATGTCTTCAGGGAAGAGATTGTCACTGAAGGAGCCATCATCAAAGTTGACTTCATAGAAAGTCTCTTTAGACAGTTGCACCACATCACACTGGTAGTAGCGGCCGTTCTTGTGCTTGCATATCACCTTCTGTCCCACAGTAAGCTCGTGCATGGCTGCTTTATTGCGCTGTCAGAGGAGATGAAAGAAATCACATTTTGCCCTGTACCAATTTACCCCTAAACCCTACAACCTCCATTTAGTGGGTGGACGTAAAGGGGTAGTGTTGTCCCAGTTCTCTATGTGATGCAGGCGTAGTGACATAACATAACCAATGTAAAGACGCTGACTGACTGTGTGTTGATCAATAGATCAATCTGTACTGGCTGCCCTAAAGTTGTCAGATGTGTCACTGTTATAATGTTGGTTGATAACTGCTGTAAGTTGATATTGTTTGTCACTGTAAAAACGTTGGTTGGCTGCTGATGATGTGGTAAGTGGTGTCTGAGTTTTTAGCCCTCTTGCTTGTGGCTCTGTTTGGAGTTGGACACAACCAGTGAAGTGCACTTCATATCATGGGGTGGGGTCGGGAGAGGGAGACGACCTGGAACAGGACCTTTGACTAGAAACTTCTTCACTAATCTCTGACACTTAGGGTATTTTAATGTCCCAGTACTGGACAATGGTGTACACACAGAGGAAAAAAGCTACATCTAGTTCATACAGTAAGTTTCTGAAGAAGAGATTATCAGATCCTCAGTGGTTCCTTACTTCAATCTGAGTGGGACCTTTGTGTCGACAGCAGGTAACGTGGACCACAAAGGGCCAATCATCCGGCTGCATGAGTACTCCAGCCGCCTGTGCACAGGTGGGGTGGTAGGCAGTAGGACAGCGACCATGGGAGCACTGCACACAGCAGCCCAACGCCTTCTTCATCCGCTTCTTACAGTAGTAACATTTCTGTTAGAGAAAAAAAAACAAAGGAACCAGGGCTCAGGAAACTGCATCAAGTTAGAAATGACTCAGACTCTCACTTACCTCCATTAGCCTTTATTTGCTCATGTTGGCTGTTACCTGATCCATACAGTACGTGTGACTGTTACTCACCAGTTTAAATCTCTGCAGTGGAATTCCACTTAAATCCACAGGATTTCTGTCAGTGATGTTGACAAAGCGTGCTTCCAGCACAGCTACAGCGCACAGCACATGTACCCACCTGCAACACACACACAAATTGATGAAGTACTCACTTTTTGTCACTGTCACATTTTATACGATATTTGAACAATCTTTCGAACATGGGGGAAGAAGGTATCCTACCTGTAATGACCTGTTTGAATTCAAAATATACAGTCGAGAAGTGTATCAGACCGTCTGAATTAGTTTGCTTCCTGATTCAGCAGAGGGCAATCCCTGTTAGTTCGACCTATTGCCTGCCCTCTTGTAGAGCAAGCCAGTCATGTTATGTTATTTTAGAGGACGCCAGCAAGCAAAGCTGTGTGGACAATTGTAACATCAGAGCATCTGAGAAGCAGATTGAGAATCAAAGGTGAGGCCTGCCATAATCTAATTTATCCAGCCAAAGTTTCAAAATAAACCAAATCCAAGGAATAAAGTACAATTAAAAGACTATTATTCTTGGATCTCTTTATTTCAGAAGTCTCACCAGGTCAAATTTCCACCACAACGTGCATCACTGTCACAGTTACAGATTTAATTCATTCTGTGGGAAACTGTGAAAATCAAGTGTTTAACCCTGTCTGACTACGTGAACGAATTGTCATGTCAAATCCACTACTACGAATTTATTCTAGACAAATGACTAGCAGCAGGGAGTCGCACACTCCGACACAGTCTTTTACCAGGAGGAACCCTGACTCGTATGTCTGGTCTCAAAGAGAAGTGCCACAGTGAGTCTGCTCCTCTGTGTCATCCTGGTCACAGAATGACACATCGAGTGAGGGGAGGTGAAAAGGTTTAGTGGACGTCACACTTGTAAAGAATAGAGAGCAGCTTGGGCCGCATTTATCTTTCAGACCGCATTGGAGACGGAGATAAATCCACCCTGTCTCTCACATGCATGGTTAATGCTTGTTTTCTCCAACATGACATGTGCAGTGTAAACAAATTTCACCACCTTCACCCTGTCCTGCACTCTGAAAGGATATATTTGTTTCCAACAGACTAGATATTTAGACTGCTAGAAATCTAGTAGGAGTCCGCAATGTGTCAGGGAACCCCTCGGGTTGTGTTTACACAGTGATTAACATCTGTCGATTGAACTCTGATTTGGCTCTGATCTGGGGCCTTTATTAGTGATTTCCAAAACTCATTGATGACTGGAAAATTGAGCTAAAAATGTTGTAGTTTGACCTAGACTTAAGTTCACATCTGACCTCAGTTAAATAAAACTTAAGACTTTGTCGAGAAATTACGCCGAACACCATTTGTGTGGTTACAATTTTCACCATTATCTATAGACATTTTTTTAATTGTTCAATGTGTTCTTTCAGACATTTTCCTGATGACAGAAGCTACTTACTTGTTGTTGTTGGCTTTCTGCAAGGCTCCACCTCTCAATGAACACAAGCAGCAATTCTGCAAAGAGGACACTTCATTTTTTCCACTGCCCAGACAAACAATAACAAGCTAAATATCTCTCATTGTTACAGTAGTAGTATTAAAAAGACCCTATTTTTCTGAAGCCTTTACAAAAAACAACATCTCCGGCAGCTGATAATTGAAAGGCAGTGTTAGATAAACTTTGCCCATCTCATACATACTCAGTCAAACGATTGTGTATGACCAGGCAGTATAAAGCTCTGTATTCTGCACAGTAACTGTGTTAACATTCTTTTATTTACTTGACTCTTTATTTATTGAACTGGAGTTACAGGAGAAACGTTAAACATTCTATTATTGTCTCATGCAATCACTGTGCTTACATTCATTCAGTCACACAGAGCTGTGCTCAGAGTGAACAGAAGGTCTGCAGTATAATTACTCTGCTTGTAGATGAAAAGTGGAAGACTATTGAGTCAGGCTGTAACTTTTGATTTAACTAGTTGGCCTTCTGATCCTGCAGATTTCACAGTAATTTTTTCTTTGAGTTTGATTCATGTCATGCCCTATTGATATAGGAAGCTAGCAATGATTCGTTGTTTGTACAGAAAATGGAGGAAAGTTGCGACCAAAGTCAAAGTTACATCAGTAACTATGGAGCCCTATGTGGGGCCTCTACCTCTGTTAGGTCCATTTAACCATACTTGTGAGCCTCTGCATTTAAGGAGTGATATTTCAGGGCAGCATTCATATGTTCACTGCAGAATCATTCTGCATGAATTACTCATCAGTACATCTACATGTACATGTATATACAAATTAAGACCATTTACCATTCACATCTCAAGTGTTATCACAGACAAATCACATTTAAGTTTTACCTACACAAAAAATTGTGGGCTTTGCTGTTGAGTGGCAAAAAACTGCAATTAGTTGGCAGATAAAGTTTTATACTGAATTTTGTGTGGATATGTAGATACTCCTCGTTGCTGTGATTACAGTTGACTGTCAGATATAAATTGGTCACTGAAGTTTAGGGTTTAATTAAACAGGGATAAAGCATGCAGAGTAAATTGACAATGGAGTGCTCACTGACCTCAGTCATGGCGTTGGCCTTGCAGCGAGCACATTTCCACTCCTTGCTCACAGTGGCTGGATCTACACCGTAACAGCCTGGAATATGCAAATACAAGAACACAGTGTGACTCCCTGGTATGTATGTATATATGTAAAGACATCTGTTAGCATGTGTTGCCAACCACAGAGAGTGAGTAGTAAGTGCAGTTTTAAGTGTCCTGCTGTCTAATTCTACAGTAACACATTTCTGTGCTAACCAAATTTAAAAATAATGTGTGTGGGGGAATTATGTTACACTGTTGGTCAGGTTATGTTTGTCAGGTCAGGCTGTGTGAGTGTGTATGAGAGCGTCTACTAACTCGTGTGGACCCGGACACTGCACTGAGAACAGCTGATGAGGAGGCTGGTTCCATCTTCCGCAAGATGAGGTGTGACTTGCTGCTGCTCACACTCAGAGTCTTCTTCTGTGGTAGTGGTGAAACACATCTCTGGGATCAGAGGTTTGGTCCGCATCCGCCCACCAGGGACAATGACAGGGCTGTCTACATTGTTTGCACATTCAGTCTGAGCAGGCAAAGCACAAACACATAAAGTTTACAACATCGTGCAACAAGTAATATCTTGTTCTGAATAAATACAAACAGAGTTTACTTTGCTTTCATTTCCTCCATTCAAGTCATTATCATCTCTGTTGGCACCTCTGTACCAAATACCTAATAGAAGAAGAATACCAACAGCTAAATATTGACAAGACCTTGGTCATGGCTATTGTACTGAAACAGTCAATACATATACATTGAAGGACCTGTTTTATCCAGAAGAAACAAGTAATTCCTCTAATTTAACCTCTCTCCATTGGCTTCTAGTAAATTTATGAATAGATTTTAAGATTTTATTGCTGACTTTTAAGGCCCATTCTATACTTGCATCTAAGTAAATTTCAGATCTTTTGAAGCCATATATGCTCTGAGGTATTCAGCAAAGGCCCTACCAACTATTTCACAGTCCTGGCTGAGGTCCAAATATGTCTGGCCTTTTCTTTCAGGGATCCCACTCTGGAACAACCTTCCAGGTGAGATCTGCGCAGCAAACTCCTTATCCTCTTTTAAATCTTTCTTTAAGACACATTTTTATAGGTGGGCTTAGTCTTAGTTCTGATCTCACTGACTAAATCATTTTTACAATGTCTTATTTTATCTTGTTTTTACTCTTTTCACATCTGTAACACTTTATATATAAGTATTTGTGTTCTAATGCTGTGTGATCTTCAAATTGCTTTTATTTTACGTTTGCCTACAATTCTTTTATTTTTTTTACTAGTAAAGCACTTGTAACTGTGTTTTGAAAGGTGATATATAAATTAACCTAATTATTATTATTATTCCTACCATATCTAATTTGATAACTGCAATGCACTGAAGTACTATAATGGAACACAGGTATCTCCTTAAATATGTTCACACATAATTATTAAAAAACTATAAACTGTACATTTTACAACAATGTCAGCCATGGTTATTGGGGCCAAATCCATACTTATTGAATTGAATTTGGAAAAAACATTTGAGAATATCAGTTTAGGGTCAACTTACTTAATTACTCTGTACTCCGTAAGACGGATCAATTTTATGTTTGATAGATGTCACAGGTAAGCAGTGATAATCTGTTGTATAATCAATGTATCTGCTTCCAAAATATAAACAAAACTGCATCAAAGCCAATGCTGTTTGTCTGCCACAGATGATTTTGAACTGTATTAAGGCAACACAGTGGTTAATGTGTAGCCAGTGTTGCTGAACTCTACATGTGGTACACTGCCTTGGTGCACGTTACCTGCTGGTATGTGTGGAACAACATGCAAATGGAGCAGTATGGAGGTTTGGAGCCCATGCGCTGGTTGTACTCTCTCTCTTTCTTCAGGCTGGGAGGTCTGCTCTGCCACAAGTGAGCCAGTGGTTTGGCCCAGCTTTCTCCTTCCAGACCACCCTCCTCTACAGGTGGAGTCTTTTCTGGAGCCTCTGCACAACAGCCAAGTTAACATTCATAATTAGATGAACTAACTAGATGGAGTATATTAGACATCTTTCATTCATATTGAGTGCCAATATTGATTGTGATTGTGTGGCATCCCGCAGGAGTTGTTACTGTTGATGTTACATACCGTCATCACTCATGCCATCCTTTATGAGTGGATGGTGGCCTGGCAGCTGTCCCAGATCACTCTCTGGCAGTACATCTCCAACATCAGCCACCTCTTCTACCAGCTGCTGGAGAAAACACCAAATGTTTGCATCGAAATCCATGCTGGAAGTTTTTTCCATAAGACCATCCTGGTTATGTACACCTCTCCCCATGCACAGTGGGTGCTGGTTGGTGTCAGGAACCTCTTGAGTGAGGGTAAAAGTCAACCAATACACACTGAAATGACTTTATCGTGTCTCAATGAAACACAGGATTTGAGTTCTTCTCTGTCATTTGAAAACTAACTAACTTAAATTGTATCTCTCTATGGGTGATTTGGGCCCTTGGGGTCCATTAAGTTCTATATGACAGTTAGTTTGTTTTCATGTTATAATAAAACTGTGTATAATGGTGCAATTCTTCTGTCAAACTAACAAATCTTTGTTTTCTGTCATCAATTCTTTTACTAACGTTTGATGTTAACTTTTAAAAAATGGTAAATCACAATGATAATGAAAAATTTAAATTATGATAACTGCCGATGTGACATACAGTAATCATACCATATACCAAACCAACAAGTCATTTGCTTTTGAGGGCTGAAATACAAGGAATCTGTGCAAATGTGGAGCCCACGCAGAGTTAACAGGATGATACAAATTGAGAGTAACTATTAGTGAGTATCCATCCCATGTCTTTACACCGATTTTATAAACCTCTCTTAATCAGTGGACATAACTTTTGCATATTTTGAAAGCAGAGCTCTGCTCAATTAACATGTGTAATAGGTATTAGGTGTGTGTGTGTAACATCTGTATCTACTCACTGCTTTGCTAACTAGTCTGTTATCTTTCTCCACCTCGTTGTCAATGCCCTCACTCTTCTTCTCCTCCTTGGGCAGAGCTTCTCCCTCTCCGTAGTCTCCTTTGGCGTAGCTGTGGACATGCAGGACATCTGAAGGGCTCAGGGTTCTCTGAAACAGTTTTTGTGCTGGGCTGCAGCCGGTGCTTGGCTGAGGCTCCACACTGCTGCCTGCCTCCTCAGAGCTCGGAGCCACCACTTGGTTCTCAGCAGGCTCAGGAGGACAGATGTCGGACGAGTCGCTGCTCTCTTTTTTTGATGGGCTCCGTCGATTGGAAGTTTTCTTAGCACCAGCTTTGGGCTGAGATTTAGACTGTTGCCTGGTGTCTTTCTCCTTTTTAGGCTCCATTTTGACAATTTCTTTGTCTGAAAAAAATAGTTAAACATTTTTCCACATTACTGCAACTACTGTTACAACTACATGACGTCCATCCTGACCAGATACAGGATGTCTGTTGTGTATATTTCTCCCTCCACTTTGTAATACCCTATGAAACAAGTATTTCTAGCCAAATACACACTGAGGTCTACATACCAGTATGTGCAAAACATTCATTCTGACAGACAGCTTAGTCCTTGGTTTTGTTTGCGGTGTAAAAGAAAATGATTGTGAGAAAAATATGTTTCTTCTATTCATAAAGCCCCTACATGGCCAGTAGGTTTGTATGTATGTTTGCCACAAATTTGAAAGAAACATTGCTCGCGGTTAACAGCAGAATAGACAGTGAAAATTATCTTTCACCAGTTTTAATCTGTCGAATATGTCACAAATGAATAATATTTGCAACACTTCCTGTACAGAAAAGCACTTCAGCTTTTCTGTTGACTGATTCCAGTCATTTGTTTGAAAAAGGATTAACTTGTGAAATATTTGCAGTAGCGGAAGATAAATGTCTTCATACTGTGTAGTACTGGTGTTTATTACCTTTATTCAAGGAAATACAGTAGTCACATTTATATTCATATTCAAGGTACACTATGTAAAAACATAGCGCTGGCAGTAGCTGCTCTGCTGCAAAACTTATTGCTGGACTGAGAGGCAAAATATTATGTATTGAACAGTTGTTAATGAAGTGAATATTTTGCATAGAATATTTAAAGTTGCATAACTGTCTTTCTTTGTGTATATGTATGCTCGTACATTGAGCCAGCAAAAACAATAAATACCCTAATTGTTTTTTTTTTGGAAGATATGGGGGGTCATAGATCTCAGCTTACATTTGGACATAAAAAGTGATCTTGGGCTTGAAAAGGTTGATTACCACTGGATTACAGAATAGTTACTTATTCCTTATTTACCCATGCAAGTGGCTCTACAGTTTAGACGACCTAACACTAAAAATAAATTGATATGAAGTCAAAAGACAACCAGAGCTATAGCTGAGAGGCTCTTGTCTTAAAAGACCAGACACTGATCATGAAACAAAGACCTGTACTAACAGTGCAGTCAGTACCTTTATCTGGGACTCTAGTTGGAGACTCTTTTCGTGACAACTTGGCTCTCTTTGGCTCCACTTCCTCAGCTTCCTTCACGATCAGCTCAGGTTTGACTTCAGCATTTTCAGCAACTTCAAGTTGACGTTTTGTCCCAGTCTGAGGCCTTGAACTGATGCATAGTAACACATAAGTAAAGAATGACAGTTCTCAAACACACTCTCATAAGATGGTGACAGTCAAGCAGCAATCTGAGTGAGGTAGAGGTTTTCTCTAAATCTACATAATCTTTCCAATGGTACCTTAACTGAATCACCACTGTCATTGACCTAGTCAGTTTCTTAATGTTGTACATCGCACCCCAATGGCAACTTAGAGCACTGTTCTCAGATCAGTGGTGATGCACAGAAAAGTATTTCCTATATTAAAGGTTATTCGAATAGTGTAATAATTATTGCAGATAGTGGCCTAAGCCTTATGAACAATGCTTCTTAAGAACAGGCCAAGTTTTGTAGTGACCGTAAGCAGAAGCCAGCTTCTTGGAACTCTTAGTCCTTGGAACTTTTCTAACGGAACTAAAAGGTCACTTTAGATCACCAGTAGGCTGACTTTCCATCATGGTATTAAGTATTATTCAACTGATGCATGGAAAACCAATGTGGGGGTAAAAAAAAACCCTTGTAGACCCTGGCCCCTCAGCTGAACAGTTTGAACTGGCAACATACATTAAGTGCTACTGAAGTGAAGACAGTTAACCTTAGCCCAGAACATCATAATTGCATGAGCAGCAATGCATTGTTTAACTTCTGTTCTAAAATGTTTCAGAGATGTGTAAACAGCAACTGTAAATCCAGACCTTTTGTCCTCTTGGATGGAAGCAGTATGTTCCTCAGGTCCAGCTTCACTAGAGTCGTCTTTTAGAGGCTCAGACTGGTGTTCTTTCAGAAACTCAGCAGCCTCTGGTGTGGGTTTGGTGTGGTCGATTGGAGCATTGTCTTTCCCTGCTTTCCATAACTTATAACGTTCGGGCTGGAACTTGCGTACAAACACATCCATGGAGATCTTCACTGTGTCCTGACGGCACGAACACTGGAAATGGATAAAGACATTAGTGTAGGATTAACTGTAATACTCAGAGCAGTAAAAAAGAATGCTGTGAGGAAAGCTGCATTTATTGTTGACAGTAATTAATTTAAGTTTGACAGTTTTCTCTGGAGTAATTCTGGTTTATATTTAAATATGGCTGGAGCCTTTATATGTGATTACTAGATTAATATTCACAGCTGATCATGTGTACCAGTGTTGCCTGTTTGCCATAATCAATCCATCGCTGTGTGGCAAAGTTGGTGGACTCAGCACAGTTGAAGCCATGGTTGAAGCCAGCGTGATAGCCAAATGGGAAGGTCACAATGAACTGCCCAGCCTCCTGAGTGACCTGAAAACAAAACAACATATGGAGTTACAAGGGTTGACACCATTTTAGTTTATTTAAATGTTTTAATAATTGAAATGGTCACCTTCTCAAATGGTATGCCATATTTCTTCAGAATTGAGGGTGAAATTAAAGTCATCTTGTGGCGCAGGAAGGCTTCACAGCTCTGATTGTTCCCTGGAAAGAAACCTGGAAATAAAGGTAACCATTAACATCTTCACTACAGACTATGCTTGTGTTCATGTATTTTGATTAAAACTGTAAATGGGGTTTGTAGGACACATTATTGATGTTGTGGTCTCAGAGGTACTTTCCATACAGTACAGAGGTTCACCGAAAGCAGTTTTGACTTCCTCTTTAAAACCACAGAGTATGACAAGATGGAGAGACCTGTGGCACCCATTAGTAAAAACTAGAGAAACAAGGGTGTGAATGGTCAGTGAGTGCATGTTGTAGCATTTCAAATTCAATCTAAGAAGTTCTGCAAGATCCCACATCTTACCCTTGGCAAGTCGTTCCAGTCTTTTCCCATGCTCTGGTGGGACAACGTACCTGAGGAGAAAAAGTGCAAGTCTATCAAATATGATAATGTCAGCAGAGCAAACAACACAGAAAAGAACAGTTGAAAATTCTCATATTCATAAAGTTCACATGGTTACTGTTGTTCAAGAATTTTATCGGCAACTATCAATAACACAAATTAATATTTTTGCATTTAAAATGGCTTGATACAGACATTGCAAGGGACAGAAAATGGCCTGGTCAGATGTATCAACCCAACTTTGATTCAAAGTCAAGGGTTAACAGCTATGATGATGAGAAAAAAGAATTCATTTACTGCAAAAAATCTTCAAGCTTACTTGGCTTGGTGATATGTAAATTGGAAAACTATAACTATACACACCCAGTTATTCTAGCTTGTGTCTACACCCCAAACTGGGACGATCCTGTTTTTTTCACAAATTTTTTAACTCATCTACCAGAAATGACAACAAAGTATCTTATACTAACAAAAACTCTGTACTTTTTCCTGTTATGGATCGGAGCATTTTGTAATCCCACCTCCAGGGCATACTCTTTTTTTCCCCTGGTTCATAAGATGTACCTGCAAATAGACTATTCTTTCCTTGACAAAATGCATATTCCTAATACACAATCCACATACCGCCCAAAGTGATTACATCCTTTACCTCTTTCAGAAGAAGAGACAAATAGTGAAGTATTTCTTCATCAATCAAGCCACAGGGATGTCACTAACTCTTGTATGGGAGTCTTTAAAGGCATTATTAAGGGGCCAGATTATTTTATACAGTGCAAATAAAAGATAAGTACTGAGCACCTCAAAAGGTTAACAGATGAGATACTACAGTTAGATATGTTATAAAGCCAATCCTTTTCCGCAAATGCAGTTAAAAAACACATATCATTTAAGACAGAGTTTGATCCCCTGTCCACTTGACAGGCTGAATACCTATTTTCAAATAGAGACATAGCATTGGGAAAATCTGGACAAATACCAGCTGCGCCAAAGAACTGCACATCAAACCATTCCTGCAATTAATAATGAACAAGATCTGATGATGGGAAAACCTATTCATGTTTTGGAAAGCTTGATCAAGCGTTATACATCTCAGAATCACCTACTAATCCCTCTATCCTGGAAGATTTGATGTCCCAAAATTCAATATACTCTCACCCTGGCCATCTATCTATCTATCTTCCTACTTTCAGCATATTGATTGATTGACCAATTTAAAATTATTTTATCTAATTTGTGCAGTCAGATATCATCCTTTACATTAACTAAAAAGCAACCCAGGATCAATAAGAGCTGTCTCAGAAATTCAATATTGATATGTCATATTTTTCAGTTATTTACATCTTAGAGATTTTGTGCTTCCCCTTGTATCCTTTTGTATCTATGCTGGACTTAATTTCTAAATGTAAAGCGGACACAAGACAAATTATAATCAGAATTTATACGTTATTAACCACGCACAACCAGATGAGTTTGGATTATAATATATATAAATCCTTCTTCTAAGATAGTGATAAGTCTTTATTGGCCCAAAGACAAACTAAGATTTTGACCTGACATATGATTGATGCACACTGCTACATGTTTTAGTAATTTACCAAGCTGCATGGTTTCACTTTCAATGTATTTATAAATGTAGTTCTTTAAATTTTGTTTTACAAAAGTGTTATCATGGTCCAGCATTTTGGTAGGGGGCAGTGTCCTATGTTCAAGTAGTATTTATATTGTAATATATTTGAAAAACAAAAAAAAGAGGTTTTAACTGTACCAAGACTTGGGCTCTCCAAAATGCAGGTAGTTGATGCTGTACAGATCCATGTCCTCAGTGTGCCATGCAAAGGCACTCTTCCACATCCCGAAATACAGGTATGGTGTGTTGACTCCTTTGATCTTGATCCCACTCTCACTCTCTACAGTATCCAGAATGGTGTTGAGACAGCCAATGTTCCATTCAGTCACATCCTGAAAAGAAGGGATTCAGCAGAGGCTTTAAGTCACAATAACACTTTCTTTTCAGATAGTACATAAATAATAATTGGGAGGCTTTTCACTTTTCCCAAAGAAAAGTAAAACATAAAAAAGTAAAATACAGCATATAGTATCTTTTACTGACCAAGAAAATTAACAATGACAAGAGATGGTTGAAAGTGTCAGCATTAACTTTGAAGGGTTTGTCTAGCACAATTAAGAGTTAAATGATTTGTATTTATAAAAAGCTTTTCTAGTCTTGATGACCACTCAAAGCGCTTTACAGTACAGTTTGCCATTCACCCATTCACACTTGCATTCATACAGTGCATCTATTTGCAGCACTTAGCAGAGTTGTTGGCATTATTCAGCATTATACCACTCACTGGATCATACAGCGTTCCGCTGACATCAGCCCCATAGAGTGGGGGATTGAAGGTCAGGTTCTTCCAAAACTTCCTCTCCAGTTCTTCGAAATCTACATATCTGGGATTGCAGAACCTACAAAGAGAAATATTTTGAGATTTTCAGTGAAAACCATCTGAGGTCTCACTTCAACGAAACAGGCTTATTGAGGATTCATAATGCATCATGTTGTCTTCATTATAATCTTGTAAATGTGTTAAAAACAATTATCGAACATCTGTCAACTGTCATTTGACTATGTGAACTGACTTGTCCATGTTGGAGGTCTTGCGGAACTCGTGGACGGTCATTGGTTTCTTCTGTATGTTGTACTGGGTGAACAGTCCTGACTGACCCGTCACCACCTGCTGAATGGGAGCAGGAATCACCAGGTCATCGATGTCGTCATACGTTTGTCTAGGCTTCCAGCCTTTAGGTGGAATAACCTGCAAGAGACGAAGGGAACAAAAACACAATGACAACAGCAGGAGAGCAGCAGAGCTGTGACTATGACATGATGAAATATATCATGACAACATGCATGCCTCCATAATTATAGATGACTGCTTTAACTTTGGTACCGTCAGTGAAACTCAATCAGATTAACATAGGAGTTTTCAGTCACAGCAGCTTTTCAGCAATTAAAAATGGTAAAGTAGATTTGATTGGAATTGAAAAGTGAATAATAATGGAATTAATGCTATGGGAATGTACAGTAGCCAAATTTAGCATGTAAACCACTACAATGACAGAAAGTTAACTGACACATTCATGCAAATGCTGTTTGCTGTCAGAGCAGACTTGGCAGTGTCCGCACATCATAATTAAACAGTAAGTGATGATGATACACAAAACACCCTTGGCTGCTCACTCTGCAGTGGTCAGCCTGTCTTCATCAACAATCTCTGAATTCATTTGCAATGTATGTGCATTTTATTTAATTAAGTTCTTGTCTCTTATGCTGTTTCCAGGCATGTGTTGGCCTTGTTGCTAGGAGAGAAATGCAGGGTGTAGGCAGGTATATGGCATATATCCACTTATAAATCAGCATAACATATACCCACTGCCTTCATTCATTTTTTTTCTGATTCTTGTTATAGGTTATATTTTTGTCTCAAGCAGGAGAGATGCAAATGTCCATCCATCATTTTTCCATATATTTATGTATTGTCTGTACTGACTGGCCTGTTTACTGTGAACAACTAATAACTAGGACGCAACTGATTTATCGTTTGGCAAAAAAGAAAAGCGGTCAATATGAGCTTTTCACAGACAAATTGGTATGGGCATCAATGCAACATTTAAACAGATATGCATTTATATTTACATTTTACATAAAGCATTTAAGTTTATTTTTTTACTACAATTTGTATACATTTTCTGTACTTTTTTTCTTCTAATCTTTAGTTATTTATAATAAAGTTTATGGATAAATTGTAAAATCTCATCATAAGGGTTTGATAAAGACAACTTCTGTATCAGAAATGTTAAAACTCCCCAATATTGCTGTGACATCGGTTTGGCCAACTACTGTAAAACTATAAGTTATCCAATCAACAAACAGTATAAGCTATATCGTAAAAAGGGCAAATAATCATTCAGCACAACACAATATCATAATAACCTAAAAAAATCACAACAGATGATACTCACTTTTGCCATTCCAGCTTTGTGTGCTCCTTGTGATTCCATATAGGCAATGTACCGGCTGAAGTCCTTGAACTCATCTTTGGAGGGAGTGAACGTCATTATCCTGGGGGCTATGCTTTGGGCTTGCGAGTCTGTGGTCATCTTGTCTTCGGATTGTTTGTTTGACCTTAAACCTGCTTGGTGGAAAACACAGAGATGATCATAAATATCTAGATGACATTGATAGTCACAAGTCTGACAATGTCTGACTCATTAAAGCAGTTTTTAGAGACGATGCTGCCGGTGATCACTGTAACTCCCACCCTATGGGAGTTCTGTGCCATCACTGACTGTGACAGATGCCTCAATCACACTGTTTAAGTTGTTCGACAATGATTACGTTATAAAAGGAGAAAGTTAAGCGGTCACAATGTATGACAAATTCTCTGCTCTTACACCATTTAGAGTTAATTCAGTTGTACTGGATATCTTATTTACAGTCTTAATGCAGCTCAAATTATTGTCAGATTTGCTCTTTTTTTCCATCTAGACCACCATTGGCTCAAGACCACCACATCTGGACAGGACTAGGTGCAAAAATACATATCATGCACTGTTTCAAACTCTGTAAGATTATAGATTTAAACTGTTTGTTGTTAAGAATGGAAACATTCGGCACCGAAAGGACATGAAACCCCATTAGACCAAGTCGAGCTCAATAAGCACCACACACCTGATTGATACTTTCAATGCATTTATGAAAACACGAAAAACTTGATCCAACATGACCAAAGCACACACTCGTGTAATAATACAAAATAGTAAGTGCTGTTTGCATTTATCGTGACAACTACGTAACTTAAGACTTAAAACTCATCGAACAAAATCTTGAAGTTCTGGGATGTGCATTAACAGACTCGCGGAACAGAGACAACTTTTAGCTTTTAGCTGCCAAACCCCAAACTAACAGCAGCAAGATTTGGGGGAGGGTCGCGAACGCTAACTGATGCAGCTGCTCAGTCTGCGATTGTGTGAACGTCACGTCTGTCAAACGCGGTGGCCCACTCACAGCCCCGCTCCCCGAAAAAAAACATTTAGCTCGTCCGCTAGCTAACATGCTAACTTCGAGATAGCTTATCCTGCTACTCAGGAACTAAAAGTGTAGTCAACAAAAACCAAACCACTGTCACATTCAGTAGTAAGCGGCAAGTAAATAGCATTAGCAGACATCGTGAGCGGCCTTGTAAAAGCGGATAATAGTTTATCGAAAGTAGAAGCAGCGGGGACAGGGATGTGACAGCTGCGTGCGCTCTCAGCTAACCTACTAGCAAACACTGAGCGTCACTTTCTCGCGCACAAACTCAGGGGCGCTCCTGCTCTTCAACAAACGAAGCAGTTCTTCACCAACAAACATCAACTTACACACGCTGAAATGCCGACGGGTTGTTTTTCCTCAGGTCACAGGTAGTAAGAATAGAAATACAGACATCATCAGTCCGAGTAGAGGAAACAGTACTCCATTATTCCGGTGACGCATGCTCAGTGTGTGTTTGTTTACATGAAGCTGGAGGAGGGGGTTCGGTGGTCCACCCAACCAATCACAGCGGCCTCTTTTCCAGCCCATCCAATCGCAGCGCTGTATTTTCCAGCCCCTTGCCTCTTATGTGTTTAAGTTTCAGAGTTCAGCTGATCGATGAAGCTGCAACAGGTTTTCAGCTGGTCTGAGTGCCAAGCATTTTCATTTTATAAATGTATTTCTAGAATTAAAATTGCTGAGGTAATGAGAGTGCGCATAAGATAAATAAGTTGTGCACACAGAGAGTTAATATGTGCGTGGTAAAGACGTGACTGGCCGATGCTTTGACTCTTAAGTTGCGTTTATAGCTTTTATAAAGGTACAGTGTGTAGAATTCAGTGATATCTAATGGTGAAGTTTAATGTTGCAGCTGAACACCCCTCACCTCACCCTCCCCTTCCAAACATGAAAGAACCTGTGGGAGCCTTGAGTTGTCATAAAAACTGAAAGGTGTTTAGTTTGTGCAGTTTGGGCTACTGTAAAAAACAACAACGTGGCCTCAGTAGAGAGAACCCGCTCCTGATGTAAATATAAAGTATTTAAATACAAAGGACTCATTCTAGGGTAAAGAAAACAACAATTTGTACAATTTAGATGAAACACACTAGTGAAAACATCACCAGGATTATTTTTTATTCAATTTCTGCCCTTTCAACTAAATCTTACACACTGAACCTCTAACAGTTTGTTTATTTCTCAAGTACTGTAGGAGCCATAAATAAGTTAAAAAAAGGATATTATTACAATGTTGTTGGTTATGATATAAGATATAATGGGTTTATATTTTGGGAGTATTATTTGGATTATTTGTTATTTATTGTTTACTTGTGATTTTATTAATTTGGCAGGAAATAGGTAATAAGGATAGGGTTGGGGGTCATAGATATAAGCTCCTGTGTAGGAAGGAAAGAGGGTGAGTGGGGACGCTGTATTTTTTTGTTGACCTCTAAAACTTCAAATTAAAACACAAACATCCTATTAAAACAAATATCTTATTCCCACACAAAAAATAGCTTGTGTCCACAAGATAGTAACTTGTTACCACAAGGTAAACAAATTGAATCTTCAGGGGGACTTAAGGGGCTCTGTAGAACTTACTGTCTATAACTCTGGTAGCTGAAGTCTCTAACTTGTATCTTACAGACTCTAGGAAGTGAAAAACATAGTAACACAGCCGCTCTTGGTGCATTCTTACACAGTATGAAATAAGGCTGCACTGTATTAAAGGTGCAAAGTACAGCAAGCTTTTTTAAGCCTTTATAAGCACAGTTGACCTGTCCCTGCTGTGTAAAGGGTGCCGCGATCTTGCTCTGCTGCCAGTGGAGGGGGCTGCACTACCACACAGTTTTTTTTTTTTAATCGTACTATTATTCATTTGAGTTTTATTACTTTATAGTAGCAGAATAACTGGTGGTGAAAAACTGCTCTCCTCTCCTATATGCTCAGTTCACAGTTTTTTTTGCCTTCTTTTTCTTCTTTCGTTCTCCCTTTTCCTTTTCTCTGTCTTTCTTTTTATTGGTTTTCTTTTCCTTGACACATGCACACATATACGCACACACATACGCGCACACACACACGCACACACACGCACGCACACGCACACACACACAAACCTAGACAGGTCAGTGTAAAGCTAACCGATGTTAAATATATTCTGTTTATGCTGTTTTGTTTGTGCTGTTCCGTCCTCATGGGTGGACCATTTTTTTCCCACAAAAAAAGGGGCCAATAAAAATTTTGATGGAGAAACGTATGCAACACTCTGCCTTATAAAAGCAATGCAGCAACAGCTGCACATGCATGCAGGTAATGCATCAATGCTTAAAAAATTGCACATTGGCAAAGTGGAGACTAAACAAACACAAACATCAGAGAATGTGTTAACACATTGCATCACAAAGCATCAGGCAGAAATCACACATATCCTGTATCCATTGTGTTGTCATTACAGCCAGTGTTACTTCAGTGCCATGGTCAGCTCATGAATAACAGCAAACCTGCAAGAGTGTCTGTCTGTGGTTCCCACAACGGTGGCTTGTTATGCCTTGTTTCAATTGTTCTACTTTAATCAGAGGTTTAAATTGATTTTTTTTCATTAAAAAAAAAAAAAGTTTTATTAACAAAACAACTGCCCATAGCCTAAATGTATCCACACTGATATGTTGTCTGATTATTGAAATGTGCCATAAAAGTATGAACATGGATGTTTGTATGATGAAGGGAAGAGGCCCAGTCTTTTAACGACTAAACAAACTGGCAGAAATTCTTATATTACAAAGATTCATTGTCATACTGTATATTTATACAGGTAGTTGTATAATAATACACACAGACAAAGTTATTTAAATCAGTATCCAGATCTTCAATCATTCAGTTGGAGTCTATCGAACAATATTTTTAAGTACGAACTGACAAAGATGATCACAAGGTGTGCCCACAGTTAGGATTGTAGAAATACTGGTTATGAGACTTTTTAAAATAAAACTAATAGAAAACGACTGCACAACAGTCAGCTTTGACAGGCAGAAGTAGTAGAACTGGATCATCACACTTCTGTGACTAATCCTGCATGAGACTGAGGTTAGGACCGCCTTTCTCATTAGCATACGGACACAGAAATAAATATATGTGGAAATAAATAAATCTGAAAATAAATTTAAGACATTTATTTATTTATTTCCTAATTTCTTTATGTATTTATTTTTACTTAAGTCATTTTTGGTCCTTCATATGTGGAAGCCACCATGTTTTTTTTTACATTAGTCCAGACTGGACAAACTAAACACCTTTTGAGTTTTTATGACAACTGAAGGCTACCACGGGTTATTTTTCATGTTTGGAAGCTGAGAGGGAGGTGAGGGGTGTTCAGCTGCAACATGTCAGTTTACCACTAGATGTCACTAAATTCTACACACTGAACCTTTAAAGTGACTTTGTACAGCTGCTCTTCATTAGTTTATTTATAGACTTGAGATAATAAAACACAATCTGTCTTTAAATCAGTTTGATATATTGTTACAAACTAAAGTATCTAAAGTGTCAGCTCCACTCTGAACAATATCAAAATAAAAATGCTGCTTACATCTGGGCGGCTGTGGCTGAGGGGTAGAGTGGTCCTCCTCCAACAAGAAGGTCGACAATTCGATCCCCAGTCTTCCCCATCTGCATGGCAAACTGTACTCTAAAGCACTTTGAGTGGTCATCAAGACTAGAAATGCCTTATTTAAATACAAACCATTTATCTATGTGCATCACAAACAGTAATTATCTATGATACAGCCCTACACAAAGTTCTGCATAACACACACTTTAAGCTAGTGCACTTTTTACACCTGAAATTCATTTTTACTCTGGTGAATATTTAAATACAATCCTGGTATATACATCATTAGGATAAAAGTTCAGCGTGAAATGATCTTATACTATTTTAAAAGTCAACAAAAAAAAACAAAAGGGGAAGGGCGAAGAGAGCATGTATGTTTTATGCAGCTTTGTCTTCTTTTTTACCGTCACATTTTCCTTGGAGAAGCAAAGGCCCACTGGTCCACTGAGTTTCACTTATAGGCAACATCACAATATCACAGAGATAAGAAGTGAAAGAGAACCTTTATATTACAAACCCAGTTATTCAACTTTATTAACAACAACATTTTCAAGACATTTTTCTGCTTTTTATTAACAAATAGAAAACAGATCATGTAGGACCTCTGCATGAATTCACTTCAACCCAAACCCTCAGACTTTGTCATCTCATCCAGTAAAAGACAGAGATTCACCAATGCAGTTACTTGTTTGACTGTCTGCAACACAGTGATAAAATAGATGAGCTGTAATATAACATGAAGTGAGATTCACTGAACTGCTTGTGTCATTCTTCTGTAAAACCATGTATGCAAACAGAAAAGCAAAGTCATGAGATGAGTGGGCAAGTCAGAAATAAGAGTCACTTCTCTGTGTTTTGTTTGGTGCAGACATATGGCCCATGATGTAATGGGGCAACATCCATTCTCCATTAACTAAACAACAAGTGTAACACAATATATGGACATTTTGTGAATTTATTCGAGCCCAGAAAATCTGTTTGGCTGGGATACTTCTAAAGGTGGATGTGTTTTTGTGATTTTTGATGAGTTTGACCTTCATAGTTGAATTGATTTTTGAGGTTTTAATATTATCTAATATTGATGCTTAAATTCTTTATTTCTTTTGAACTCAATGTTAATACTTTGAATTTGAGAACTGGAATGGTTTTAAATACATGCACATTCTCAGTTTCGGGCATCAATCTGTTCCAACAAAATTGGGGATTTATTTTAAGTCAAATGTGGATGATATTCCAAATGTGTCAACAAGTCCTGACTCAAACCAACAGTGAACTGGTGAAAAATGTTACTCCTCTCAGCCTGAGGGCTTCATTGTTCCCAAAAACTATTAGTGAGACACACTGTAGCATTGGGTGAGATGTTCTTCATTACCATGAAAACTGTAGAAAACTGTAGTTATTTAGACTCATCATTGACCCGCCCTGCAGCCTCAAATATTAACTACAGCACCATATGTGAATTACTCTATTGCTGAAAATAGTCTCAAACAAAAAAAATGTTCTCAACCATGTGAAGCTGTTAATTAAAAAATTTAAAAGATATTTTGCCAATAGGAACATCTTGGTACAGAGAGCCACAGAAAGCATTTTAGACATCAGAAAGTTGGAAGGATGGACACTGGTGGTTGTGTTTTAGGATTAGTTGACAAAAATGAAAATATACATAGAACGGAGTAGGCCTTATGTATCAAGGTTTAGCATCTAAACCACAGTGACTTAGATTTAGCATTGAATGTTAGCTGAATGTTTTCATTAGAAAACATCTTGTCATAAATTGGGGTGTTGGAAATTCTTTTTTTTCCATACAAAGAAGGGTGGGTCAAGTCTACCTTACCCATTTCCTTTTCACAAAAAGGATGTGAAAACAGTTGTGCATATAACCTTTCCAACAGCTTCACATTTCTTTTTTATCCAGATCTCTGATGGCTGAGAAAGTCATTCGAGCATTTCTACCAGCAGTTGTTCAGTTGTGAATCGTCAAGAGTTTATTTCACCCTACAGCGGACAAATTATCACCATTATAGATGTGACATGAAGACAGGAATTCAAAGTCACATTTTCCTCTAAACAGGGCCAATGGAGTAATGATCACATTAGACTATCATATCTATGGTAGAAAATAAAATGGTTAGCAGCTGTGAGTATACGCTCTCCAGTGTTAATAACTTTGAGCATCTTGAAAATACAGGTTTTTAGTGCTAACAAAAATAATAAAACTATTAAGAAATAGAATAACCAGTGTAAGTGATTACAAAATAAATTCTAAATATTAATAACAACATAGTAATAGTGAATATAAATGATAATAGCAGAAAAATATTTTTGCTATTGGGAGGAGGCAGATCAGGAAGTGATAGGAGAATGAGGCATGGATACGAGTCATTCAGGGTTGGTTTCTGAGAGGTTTTGGTGTTGGGTCTGTGGCAGAATCATGGTACCAGTCCAAGGGGTGGTTGTCCGGCTCCCTCTCTTCTCCTCCCCTGTTTCATGGCCCCACCCCCACCCCCACCTAACACACACACACACACACACACACACACACACGCACATATGCACGCACATACACAGAGTCCTCTGTAACCTCCACATCAGGCCAAAGGGACTGATGGAGCTGAGTGGATATGGCTCAGATGAGACACCAGTTCATTCCGGGTGGGGTTATGTTGCATAGTGATCAAAGCTTCCCAGGTACTCCAGAGCAGCCCGGTAGCACAGCTGGTACTGGTCCTAATAACAAAATAACATGTTGGTCAAGTTGTAAGTGCTAAATATTTTAATTTTTACATTCAGCTTAACATGTCAATATGCTGGGATTTTTCAGTGTTCCTATTTTATTTAGCACAATGTTCTCTTGTGTCTCTTGTTTAGTTGTGTTCCTCATGGTGTCCAGCAGCAGAATGTCATACCTCTGTCTGCACCATGGCTGGCCTCTGAGTGCGGAGCATCTTGACAGTCTGGAAGAGGTCGACCACTCCCTCGTACCTCATTCTCTCCAGGACGATGCTCAGGGTGATGAACACACCGGTCCGCCCAACACCAGCACTAATTGACACACGTTATCATACCCTTTTTACAAAGATGCATGTTCAGTAGCACTGTAGCACAGCAGTACTATTAAGATAATAAACTTTATACTTATTCACCATTGACTAGTTTCTTTTGCAAATTAGAAACATTTTAGCTTTTTATTAGTCATATTTCTCATTACGAAGCCCTTTTATTCCTGCGCTGCCTGGCAGCTGGTGGGTGTATTGAAATAATTCTGTTGAAGTTTGTCTGGCTTGTCGGTCACAGAAATAACTCAGGCAGATTTAATCCAATTTGGATTAAACCAGGTTCGTTGGGGTAATGGTCAGTACCTGCACTAGTTCCTTTTCAAGTCCATCAAAAATCAAAATCACGGCATGTCACCATTGAACAGAGCCTGCTCTAAAGTGATGGGTTATATGTTACAAATAATGGAAATAATGGAGGTTTACTGAGACGCACCGGTTCTACCTCCTGCCCAAAAAGTCAAAGTCAGCACAAATAGTGTCTCCTTTATTAATGGAGCAGAGACAGATGTAGATCACCAATTTTAGTGCTCATTTTAAGTGCAGCCTTCGAAACTGTGGATCACAGCCAACTTTAACATAGACTTGGAAACTGGGTTGTTTTTTTTGGAATTATTTTAAAATTAATACAATTATATTCGGAAGGAAGGGACTATTTTATCTCCATTGGAAATGGAGAACATATGCCAAAGGTCAATTATAGGACCACTTCTGTACAATCTATGCATCCTTCCACTTGGCAATATCGTTCACAACAATAAACAAATGCATCACAGTAATCAATAACTTAATGTCACAAAATTGGACTCCTTCATGTACAACATCCTTACTTATTACCAATAGGCAGTATTAGGAGGTTATTGAGGGTAAATTCTTAGTTCATGATCCAATGATTCTAGATTAGAATCATACATAATACAATATTCATAAGTCCTGTTTAATCACTAATAAAGAGTCAATATGCTACTAATAGGCATGTTAACAAGCAACTAGCCAATGGTGAGTAAGTCAACCTAATGTAAAGTGTCACACACATTCACTTATAGGCCAACTATAAGATGTACATGTGAAGGACAAGTCAACATGAGAACAGGAGTCTGACAGTCAATGACATCAATAGCTGCTGAACACTGATTCACAATATATTTGTTCCTCCTGTCAAACACTGTTCTGATATTTCTGCAAATCCACCTCTAGGAGAACTGAAGTGCTATTTGAAAAGAATTAACACAAATCACAAGGGATATGGAATAAGGAGATGGATTTTAGAAAGCCTGACACATAGACAAACATGCACTATTGACAATAATAACAATAGTGAATTTAAGCTTTGTTTTTCTTGTGTGTTTTGAATCGATAATTGTAATAAACAATAAGAAAATAAACATCTGCTGATGTTAATTCTCTCTAACCCTATGACCATGAAAATTCCCTCCTCTCGCTCTCTGTCCCTTGTTCAATCACACACATATGCACACACACGCACACACACACACACACAGTTACCTGCAGTGAACAGTAATTGGTCCGTCTTGTCCAAACTGCTCCTTAGTTTTATGGACCTGGCCTATAAAGTCAATGAATCCCTCCCCAGTTTTTGGCACTCCTTGCTCTGGCCAGTCAGTGAACTGGAACTGTCTGATGGTCCTCGACTGACCATCCTGACAAACACACAGGAACATGGACACAGACACTGTAAGTCATACACAACTCTACAGCCGCCTACTGTTAGATGAGGCAGAGACCAGTGTATGGGTAATTCGCATTTACCTTTCCAACTTTCCTCACTGCCTATTATACAAGAAATAACCAAACCTTGTATCCAGGGAGACACTAGATTCATGGAACTACATAAAACCTGCCCTAAAATGTGCAGGGAACCTTTGACATTCTTTCTTTAGCATTTATCTTTTTATCAAATCAAATCAAATCAAATCAAATTTTATTTGTATAGCCAAAATTCACAAAACACATTTTGCCTCAGAGGGCTTTACAGTCTGTACAGGGAGTTTATGGCCCTCTTTGTTATGAAGACTGTATTGTACTGTCTCAAAGCGAAATAGTAGTTTAAGTATTTACCTATCTGACATCCTATAAGTTAACCAAAATAACTTATAATATCTTTGGTATATTTCTTATTTGCTGCAGTTATTAAAAAAACACATTATAATATCCTTCCACCTATAATTGATTAAATCTTCCCATCCCTCCACATTCTCCTTTATGTAATGCATAATGTTTTGTTCCAGTTAGCTTTGCAATCCACTACACAACTGTTACATGTTTGTATGACTTGGATCTGATCTTTCAGCAAGAATAAAACCTTGATGATGTCATATTGTCTCTTATTTACCTTCAAGTCCTTAGCTTTGAAGTCTGTGGTCGCCATCTAAATTCAAAATAGTTTTCGCGCATGGCTGTGACCAATTGACTCAGTAGTGCCCCAATGGGCAGCCCCTATGGAGCGATTTACCAAAATGCATGAAAATTGTTGGACATATGTATCATTACCAGAGGTAAAAAAGTCAGCGAACCCATATTCCATTCCCAACAGGAAGTTAGCCATTTTAGATTAAGTGGTAATTTTTTCCGTCTAATTTCTATGTTTTGCCATGAAACAGGAAGTTGTTGTAACTTCATTGTACATTATCCAATCTGCACCAAACTTCACGTTTGATTTAGGTCCTGGCCTGAACACATCTACAGGCAAACATTAATGCTTTGTGTGTTTGACATTTACACATGAGAGCTTTTATACTACCTTTCAAACTTAATAATTTGTGGATTTCTAAGGTAGACTTCCTCAGCCCTGCTGTGCACAGCAGTTGTGAACCTCCTTAGTTTCACACCAGAGACTGAAGACTGTCTTTTCATGAAGCAGTGGTTTATGTCACAAAGGAAAGCCCCAAAGCACATGACAGGCACACAGGAACAAGTGACAGATTTCTGCTTTAAATGTGTGCAGGGAGGCCTATTGTACAACATCAACACATGTAGCCCCAGTCTCAATCATTACCTGAATAATCCTGTTTTGTTCCTTCTGTGTGGTGAACACACAGCCCAAATGACAACATGCTAAATACACAGTAGGAAATAAAGGAACCGTGGAAGGCAATAAAAATGTCACTCTGCCAGCACGTGCCGCCTGATGAAACAACCTTCCTGACGTGAACTTACCCTGGCGTCTGTGACTTTGAACTCTCTCAGGATATACTGAGGCATGTTGTACTCAGCCATGGGGTCCACAACAAAGTACTGGTAGCGTGCAGAACGCTCGGCAGGCCAGTACTGATGGCACTTTTCCTAAAGAATGAACAGAGAAGACTATAAAAACAAGGCAACAGATTTATGTTGTGCAAGCAACAGTTGTTCTAGATTAACCTGCAAAAATGAGCTGTTGGGGCCACTACTAACCACCTCCCTGTCATTGCGTATGCACACTGACGCAGCAGTCAAATTCATTATTGTCCTGTAGTTTTGTCCTTACTTGTCTGCATGTCAAATAATTTCATTAATTTAATTTGAAATACATTACACTGGGTAAGTGAGATAGTTGTGCAGTAAATGTGATATTTACATACAATGTGTAAATGGGAAAAGGTATATTATGAATGTGGTCTGAACTACCTGCTTTAATGAGATGTACATACACATGGCAGAAAGCCTTGCTTTAGCTAATGAGAAAATAATATATATATATATATAAATATATATATATTTCAAAATTTAGTATACATTTATTATAAAAGATTACAATTTTATATAAAGGTAATCAAGTATCAAGTATCTAGTGGCAGTGTCAAAGATTTTGATTTAAGTGAATGCCAATGTCATTAAATGTCATAAAAGTCACAATCTATTACTGAATAAGGTAACAATAATGACTCATCCTATATGGTTTAGATAAATTCATTTTAATGAACTGGATATCTGTGGAGACAGAAGTTAGTGCTTATGCAAACCAGACATTTTCTATTGCTGCAGTTTTACATTAAAGCATTTATCTGGCAAATGTAGACTTTAATTATATACATTATTACGAAATCAAAGAAAATGCAATGTTTTTGTCAGTGAGCTCAGAATTTACAGCTCAGATCAAAATGCCTGCAAAACAGTCTTTTGGCCTCATCTAGGGGCGTGTTAGGGTCTTTCCCATTTGCATGCTGAACTGTCTTTGGGCAAGATATTGAACCCAGAATGGCCCCTCATGGGAAAAAGTACTGCCCATAGATGCAATGTATGTACACCTGAAGAAAATGGTCACTTCATAAATCACAGTTTTAAATATAGAATATAACTAAATATAACTATACAGTGTAGTATATCTAAAACCAATACATTTAATGTGTTGATAAAATTTCAGGCTTCAATTTGAGCCATTTTGATGTGATACAGGTTCACACTCAATGACATGATATAAGGTGTGACTGTGATGTTTTACCCGTCCCATCTCGCGGAGCTTGGTGAGCATGACTACAATGGTGGAGTTGTGTTCCCACAACATTCTCCAAAAGTCTTCTGTGGTCTCGGCTAACGGGCCCTGGGTGGCCATGTATGATTTCTGCTGCCTGCAAATTAGAACAGAGACAGTCTGTGTTTACTCCTCAGGGTTCAGCAGCTATGCTCCTATTTGGATTACGTTACCTCTTCAACCCAAGTGTCACAAACATACAGGTTATGGCAGATGAATAATGATGCCTATGTCAAAAACTATCAAAAAGCTTTTTTTTTGGGCTACAAGTTTGTTAGCCCATATATAAAGATATTTTGCAAATAATGTGTTTCAAAAGCTGTTTTCTCATATGAATCCAGGACAAGAGAATCAGGTCCAGACATTGTCCATCCAGCACAACCTGAGACTGTCTGTGTGACATGTGTTCACTCCTTCCGGAACTACTGTTTAGTGGTTGCCAAATTTGCCAGCCTTATTTTTGTTTATGTAAACTTAAAATCTACATAGAATCTCAGAAAAACATGCAAAGTCATCACTATACAAAGGCTTATAATGTGCCTTAAGAATTATTAGCACTAACAGTGTGTGAGCCTGCATTTCACAAAAACAAACTGAGCACAATCAGTTAAGCAGGATTTACTCTTCACCACATCCCTTTAAATAGCTTCTAGCTTAGTGACATCCCATAACTGTTGAATGCAGCTCTAAGGTGTATAATTTAATTTTATGCACCCTTACAATAGATTTGATGAGTCAGCGGTTGCACTGATATTTAATTTGGTTTGCTTCAGCACAGAACCTTTTGAACAAGCACTGTTAAAGGACAGATGTCATCCCAGCTGTTCAACTGAGCTCTGGGCGATCCACTGATGAATGCACAGGACCACTAGATGGTAGTGTTCATCCATGCAGCACATGGCTCAGTTTATTCTCTCCTGTGCCTCAGTATCTCTGTTACCTAAAGTGCTCATGATTTGTGTGTGCTGGGGATGACTGGAGGCACTGTTAGTTGTCTGCCAGCCCCTGTCCTGCTCACAGGTTCACCTGTGTGCAACCAGCACTATGAATGTTATTTGAACAGTTCATAAAACAACAAGGGAACATAAACTTAGGAAGCAAAGTTACTGCTGTATGTTGTTGGAGCTGCAGCACCTGGCTGTTCTGTTACTTGTGCCTAAGCACTGTGAAATGATTAGAGGGAATCTGACCAACTGCAGAGGATTCTGCTTGAGTTTGTTTAAGGTCACATATGGAAGGTTGAATTGGAGAATGGCATCATTTCTGACCTCTGTGCAATCAAGCCAACAAATAGTGCAGCTGCTAATACTACCCCAAAACCTTAAGCAGTTTTAACCAGCTTATGTTCGTCAATGATTAAAATTTATACAGTATCAGACTGAAAATGAAGATAAAATTCAGATTAAAGGACACGCCTGTCTTGTATGTATCTGTGATTTGGAGCAGTACGAGTCATTAGGCATCTCTTCCAGGAAGTTGAAGTTACTTCAACTCTGACCCACTATACTTACTGTAGTTGTGTGAAAACAGTTTCCTGAAGGACTGAAAGACACATTTCAGGGGCACTCACTTTCAGTCTGATCACTAATTGAAGCTTTCACATCATACGTATAAAGTGATAACCAATTAGAACAATAGCCAGACCACAGAAGAATAGTACACACATGTTCATAGATAAGTGAATAATAAAATAATATTCCTCTATTCATGTAACAACCAATCAACAGTGCCACAGTTGGACATTTTATTAGACTCTTCTAAAGAGAGCCATTAGAGAGAGCTATAAAAGTTAATATGTTGTTTTAGCAGGGAGTCCTTTCTAATTAATCCTCATCTGATGTAGAGGTAATGATAAACTGGCTGAAGGCTGCTGTCTCACTTTCTATCTTGCACCATCATGTACAGGCACTGAGGTGACTCCAGTTGATACACTGAGAGGTCACTGGACACCTCCACTAATCATCATTACCATGTCTCTCCCCCTAACCTAAATCTGTCCTAATCCTCACTGTGCACTTTAAAGGCAGAGCTCAGAGAGTGCTGCTGTTCCCTGTATTCACCTCACTCTTAATTACTGCTACAGGAGGTTGTGAGGAATTACAGGACACCCCTGCCTCCATCTCCATTCTACCTTAGCTGTGCATGCCCAGGGGACTTCATTAGGTGCTGACAGCCAAGAACAAGATACACCCACCCTCGCTGCAAGTAAAAGTGGAAGTACTGATTCATTACTCTGCTAGTGCACTACAAATGTATTTCTAATCAGTGGTTCCTTGAAAGATTTTCTTCTCTGAGAGGTAAGTGATTGGCTCTTTCTCTGACAGAACAATATCAGAGCTGATGTCAGTGTGGCAGTGTTAGCAAATCAGCCAGACTCTCTATTAAGCTGTCACACAAATGTGTAAATGCACATACATAAGGATTACACAATCATTTTTCTTTTAGAGACAAAACAGTGTGTGTGTCCAAAGCACAGAGCCACAGAGCTCTTCTGTAGTTATCTGTTAAAGCAAATCAATGGAGCACTAAAGCAGGGATAGAGTAGGGACAAAAATCTGCTCAACCCACCAGAACCCATCTGCAGACCCACACTGCAGACTAACTGCTGCTAGATCCACACCTATCTGAAGCATTTGACTTCTCCTGGATTTTAACTTCCTGGATTTTAGACTTCTGTCTCTTCTTGGCTGGAGTACTGCTGCTCCTTGTACATGTTACTGAGCAATTCCACCTACTCTTGTTTACTAATGGTCCAAAATGCAGCTGCCAGACTTCTAACTGGAACTAAAAGAATCAACATATGACTCCTACTCTGAATCAGCTTCACTTAACTTTGAAGTCTAATATTTGTTTTAAAATGACTATTTGTTTATGAAGCTCTTAATGATCCTCATTACTTCACTGTTTTGCTGAATCACTCAGATCACCCTCATAACAACTCTTTTGTTTTCAAGCTAAAGGGGAGCAGGCTTTTCTCTGTTCCGCATATGGGCCTCAAATGTGTATTAATCATTCAGTCTTTATACTAAGCAACGAAAACAAACTCTTTGTTTCCTCTTCTCTTCTAAATAGATTACAATTACGGTATTTACAGACTTCTCCTTCTGTAAATTTGACCTGTATCTGTAATATTTTTACAGATTAAATGACACAGTGTCTTGAGTGAAAAAGTAGAATTACTGGAGTCACCAGTTCATTTCAATGGCTTGTCACCTTTTCTCGATCAGGCTGTTAAGACAAGAGAAAACCAGGGGAAAGTTAACAGGCCTGTCAATGAGAACAATTGTTTTTGACAACTGATACAACAAAAGGATTGGAGGCAGTGAAACCCCGGACTGTCAGCTACCAGAGAACAGGTCTACCTCTTCACTCATTAGCGTTAGCTGCTCAACACAGTCTGTTTTGCAGTAGTTCAACCATCCACAGACAACTGCACTAAACCGTCACATCTCTGTGGCCTTGTGTTTCCCATTCTGCATTGTGTTCCCCATTTCTTTTAACTGACCTACATAAAATACTAATAACACTCACCTGTATCCATCAATGAAGCTGGCGTTGATGTAGTCTGAGCCCTCCACCCCTCTTATTGGCTGTAGGCAGACGCGGGTAGTCTCAAAAGGCATGATGTTCACCAGGCGGGTCTTGAATTTGTTACACGGTAGGTTGGCACTGATGAATCTTGAGGTATGTGCTTTTGAGTTGGCCAGTTTCTGCGGAGACAGAGAGGAAGATGCATCTGTCTCTGATACTCCACAGTCACCTAATCACTCTCTGCTGTCTGCCTCAGCTCAATTAAAGTGCTAATACAACCAGTGAGTTGTTAAAAGGCACAGGCGCTAACACTTATTGATGCATGAAGATGATGCACTGTGAGTTGATCTTCCTTCTCTAACTTCAAAAACATGCCTGATGCTGTGGTGTATTAAAAGTCATTGTGAAATACCCACTCATATTTATTGTTAGATTAAGTAGACAAGCTGCTACAAAAGCATGGCTCACTAAGGAAAAGAAAAATGTTTTGAATCCCACCTGAGTGTGTTTTTCTTTATTGTTTCTAATGTGATAACTTTGGTTTGCAAGGACAAGTGTCAATATGTAAGTGGTTGTGAAAGAAATACGCAGTGGTCTAATCATTGCAGAGCACGCAGTCTGAGATGGTGAAGTGCTGTCAGACATCCCTCTCTTCATCACTCTTACAGTCTCTGCCTCTCCTCCTGTCATCTGGAGCTCAGAGGTTAAGCTCTCACAGAATTTGTCTCTGTTACACAGGCTGAAGATAGAAATCCCTCATCTTCTATATAGCTTCCACTACATAATACAGTCAAAGAGGCACCCCCGCCACTTCATAGTGCACTTTCATGATGTTGAATACTTCAAGGACACTGACATTAAAAATGACGAACAAAAAAGTGGTCAAAATGGATGTTATTGCATAGACCTTGGGTTTATATCATTCTTATATTTGATTATTACTTGGATTCAGATTGACCACACAAAAAATCAAAGTACAAGCCAACAACATTTTTCCCCAAAGATGATTAGTTTTTTTAGTTTGTTCAACTATTGATGTTTTTGATAAGTTTTGTTTTACCACTTGTGCCAATCCTGGTAAGACAAGTTAAAATGTCTGCTCTCAAAAGTCCCTTTAAATCAAGCAAGGCTACTGAGAATCAGGTTGGCAACATTTATTAAGATAGCAAAATGACATAGAAGATGGACAAAGAAGACTTGTTTGATTTGTGTCCAAAAACTTTGGACAAAGTTCAACTTGAATGACAGAAAAGTTCATAATGATGTTATTTCAATTAAGTGATAATTGTGTCACTTGTTTCCCCAGTTACAGCTAGAGGACACATTCAAATTACACCTGTTCTAAGATCAGATCTTTGCTTATACTTTCACACCATGGCACAGCCAGAGGAATAGCTGCTGAATGAAAAACACAATGACAGGCAAAAGGTACCTTGAACTCCAGTTCCATGGCAGTGACAGTCTCTCCAGGGGGGATGTGGGTGAGCTTCTGGATGTGGGCATAGAGGTTGCGTGCAGGGACTTCTGTATTGCCACATGTTGCAGCTTCTAGCAGGGCCTCGTGGATGAATATGTACTGCTCCTCTGTCTGCACCATGTAGTTCCTCTGAGCTCGCATACATGTCACATGACCATAAATGTCCACCGACTTCTCATGTTTCATCCTCTCCAGCATGGCTTCAATCACAATGAGGCAGCCTGTCCTCCCAACACCAGCACTGACAGAGCACAGAAAGAAAATATAGCCTCATAAACAGATGCTCCCAGAAAATATTTATCTCTTTACACCCATTATTTTGCTCCTGCAGGTTACGAATTACATATTTCAAACTAATCTTCACGCATCAAAGTATTTCAAGCGAAGAATCAAGCAAAACAGCAACTTTTGAGAGGGAAAAAGTTAATCCTACAAATAACTTCACACACTGCAATGTTGTTTGAAGTTGTATGCCTCTAACCAACCAGTGCAGTTTCCATCAACATAAGTGACAACTGATCAAAAGTTGGAGAAATTCCCTCTAGGCAGTCTGGAGGTATTACATTCAAGAAGGCAAAAACTGTTTTTGAAGCCACTGTGACCTTGCCCTTTGACAACAAAATCTAATAAATTAATGTGTGAGTCTAAGTGTACATGTGTATCAATTTGAAATAATTCCCTTGAGGTGTTTCTGAGTTATTACATGTACAAGGTAAGATATATTTTTTGACAGGTCACAGGTGTGATGAATTTCCATACGGGCAGTTCTGATTTATCACATTCAAGTCAAGTTCCTATGACTTTTGACCTCCAGGTACAAAAATCCAAGATTGGCTCCAAATGAGGTCTGTTGAATCAGGTATCATGACAGCCTCAAACTGGAAGAAGAGCGAAGAATCCCTCAACCTATATACACACCCTGCAATTAAGTGCTTCCAGACAGTTGCTTTCAAGTACAATACCCAATGCCAATGCTCTGATTGGTTGTTGCCTATGTCCACAGTGTTCAGTATAAATTAACACAGACCAGTGGCATTGAAGAGAGATGAGTCATAGGTAAGGAACAAGCTCATAATGTTTTGGTGTTTCTGGTTCAAAGGACAGAGACAGGATTTTTTTAATCACTCCTCAACATTTTATCTTGGAATTATTGTTCAGAACATGATGTGAAACAAACAGGGATATTGATTTAGTTGGAGGAATCAGTTTGTAAAGTTTGGTGCAGATTACAAGACAACATCCTTTTTTTTCTTCTGTTATAAGATCTAGACAGACGTGCAGGATTGTTTGGTCATGGCAAAAGTATGTGCTTTACATTCTAGTTTAGGTGTTGAAAAATCTACAAAACTTTCAAAAAAGGTTGTTAATAAATGAGTGGGTACTGGCTAACTCACTTTGCAAAATACATGAAGCTCCAGAGAGCTCACTACCTATAGAACTGTGAAACAACATGAAGAAAGTTGAGTTGATCATCAAAGCACCCTGTTTTGACAGTGTGGTTAATTCTCTATTCACCTTTTGACATTGATAATATTCCTCTGAATTGCTGATCTCACAGTATAGTGTCCCAGTTAATGCTTAAAAACTTCCTGTAAGCAAGCCCCTGAGCACCCAACATGCAGACACTTCTGATAAATGATAAATCAGTTGTACAAATCACTTAAAACATGACATCTACATACCTCCACAACAGTGACCAGTCAGTGTATCAGAACAAACCACAGGTTGCCACAGGAAATGAGATTTCATGTTTGATGATCACACAATTTGTTTGAAGCATATTAAAGGCCTTTCTGTTGATATGAAACACATTTACCTGCAGTGAACCACCATTGGCCCAGCGTCTGGAGGGTTACAGGCCTTGACTCTGCGTAGAAAGGCCAGCGTTGGAGTGGGATACTCAGGCACTCCATGGTCAGGCCATGCCATGAACTGGAACTGTCTGACCTCTCTCTTCTCACTCGAGCCATTCTGTTAAAGCATGCACACATACACACACACAGACAGGTTTACTATACATCAGAAATGCATTCTGAACAGTACTCCAAGTCCTAAACAGAACACTTCTCCAAGAGCACCCACTTTTTCTCCATTCTAGTGCAAATCTTTTTAGATCGCGGCTTCACAAGTCTGGTAGTGATACTGTTTACTTTTAACTGATACTGTCATTCAGACATGACAGGATGTCAATGGAAGGAGCTGAGTGACAGTATCATTAAAGCCTGATACTAGAAACCTCTTCCAGCAGTTGACACCCACCCCTACAGTCTATGGTGCAGAGTGAAGCTCTAAAAACTTTGTGTTAATCCTTCATGGTTTTTCTGCAATGATTATGTTAAATATGTTTCAATGATTTACTGAACTGGTGTTATTGATTTAATACATTGCATGTCAGCTCAGCAATACACACACAATACAAGTGCAAAGCTGATAGGCTGAAGGGTTCTCTTGATACGTGAGCCACATTTCTGGTATTAGTAGACAGACGATAGATGTACCGAGGTGATTTAGTGCTCTCTAAGACCTCTGTACTTGCTTTGTTGCCAAACAAAGTCATACTCCATAAAAACATAAAAAGTTCTCACCTTATAGAGGGCAAATGTACGTACGTTGTACGTAGCCAACTCCACAGTGTCCAACATGGTCACCTGAATCATCCCATATGTCTCTGTGCCTCGACTAGGCCAATACTGGTCACACTTAACCTACACAAAGACACGTAAAGAATAGTGTTACTGTTGAAGTTTGAGCAAGAGTGATGAGGAGGCTTTTGTATCTGTATAGTTAATGCACGGAACATTGTCCTGAGGTTGGTAATGCTGATCAGATCATTGACCAATGATCCATCATTACAACCATCTAACACTTTTGTCAAGGGTAGACTCTTGACTTCTACTCAGATCGATATATTTTGGTGTGGACCTCAATAGAGAATGATTCCTAAAAGACTGTGGTGACCCCCTCACCATCCTGGGGCTACTTTCCAGTTGTAATTATGCTCAGATTGGTCTGTTTCATCACTGTGAATACGTCCCCATAGATAGCACACACTAGGTTTACTATTCTTTCCTTCATGCTGATGGGGACCTGGCCAGGCATACAACCAGAGGGACGTCCGATTTAAAATAATTTTCTTTTATCACAAACAAAATGTATTGCTGTCTATGAGATTCTGTCTCTAACTGGTCCCTATGATACAATCACTTCTTTGTGTGCACAAAACGCCAGATAACAGTGACATAACGTTGAAGGGATGATGTGAATTTCCGGTAGGAAGTTGTTTAGTTTTGTCTTAGTTTATTTTTAAAGTTTATTTTCACCACTAACTCTCTTAATCCAGTAACTTCAATTAATTAATTAGCGAACTACTTTTTGTAGCATACTGTGAAACGTTTGTTACTGCTCCATGTAAGCAGTTGAGCTGTTGGATCAAGCGTCTTTGATTTTCTTAGTCAGTTTGTGTTTGAGTGAATAAAATCGTCTGTGTAGTTGGAGTAATCAGTTGTCTATGTGCGTAAAGCTGGTTAACAACACAATTAATGTGGGAGCAGAAGCCCTCAGTGCCTGTCACCCCACCCAGGTAAATCATCACCATACACAATTAACTGCAAAGACTACAGTGAGGCAGAATGGATAATCAAACACTGGTGTTTACATATTCTTAAACAGATCACTGTTACAATAACCTGGCATTTAAACCCTGTGTGTAAAGAACAGCCAGTTCTTGGAAGCAAAGAGAAGGTTAGGGCTTCTTTTGCTCTGCTAGAAAAAGACAAAGTTCCTCAAGACAGGAAAAGTTTCACTCTCACGGTTTTACTCTGACTAAACTTTTGGATACATGTCATTTAAGTGTTCTCAACATAAAAGATGTTTTTATGTGGTCACAGATAATTTCCAATCTAGAAAAATGGTTTTTTTTTTAATATACATAGTAGCAGACATATATATTATTGTAGCCCCGTGATAAGACAGACGTGAGCGTCACAAATTATTTAAAACTTATAATAAAAATAGTTTATATGATATTACCTTGTATATAAGGGTAAACATCCAGCTGCCACCAGGGCCAGAACTGAATGCCCGCACAGCCCCCTCCATTATGGGCCTTCCCTTATTGTTAGTGGTTAACAGTTGAGACTGTAAATATGTTGCAGAAGTTGAACCTCCTCCAGTTTGACTTGTTTCAGATTTCTTTATGTGGCTTAGAGCACATCAAAATACTTTTATTCCACATCTGTACACCTTATTACAGCTTTTCTCTGTTGCTTTACAGCTTTACTCTTGTTTACTCTGGCATCACTTTTTCAAAACATTTAACACAGGCTTGAACAGAAGCACATGGACCAAAGTGACACAATAACACTCACAGAACTTTAAACACATGCAACAGACAACCTACGTAAGTCAACCAAGACTTCTTTTGTTAACCTCGAATTAAATCAGGGTAGGTTAAATTCCTTTTGTAGTACAGGCCTCTGGTAAGCCTGCCATTGTTACAACTCTATAGGTTGTAGCCAAGGACCAAGTCTTAATACTTGTTCTGGTTTATGCAGAAACCATACTTTTGGTTAAATGATTACTTTGTCAAGAACTGAGAAAGGTTATGTGGGTTGAAATTACTAATTCATTCAGGTTAAGGGATCTTTGTTGTCACACGATTAGCCGTCTCCCATATCATTCAGCTAGGGACCAATATTTACTCTGCTTTAGCTGTGTTTTTGGTGTCTCTGGTAAATGGCTGGATCTTTGCTTTGCTGTGTTAAGAAACTTATTTCTGACTATGTGTGTTTCATACAGTCTATAGTTTGTTTGTTGTTGCTGCAGGTTGTGGCATTTACTCGCTGGTCAGCACAGATAAACAATGAGCTGAAACTCACTCTTACGTTATGTTGGCTCATCATTATAAGGAACCCATTTTACACTGTCATATTTTTTTCACATTGTCATCTAATACTTTGTAATTTTAATAAATTAAAGTTAGACAGACATGCACTGTATATTGATGCAATGCAAAAAGGACAAAATTTAAGTTTTCACAGTTTTAGTCAGATTAAAATCAGAGTCATTGAACAAAATGATAGAATCAGCGTGTGCCCTGTTAGTGCTGCCTCTATGCTTAGGGAGGTTTGGACACAGATGATGATAGAAATAACCATTTGGACATCAGTGCTGACTTGAGGGGACTGCTGGCTGCAGGCAGCAGGAGATGGGTAGAACAGATGGCATGATTACGCTTCAGAGACCTGGATGCGGGTGTCAGTGTAGGGGGTGGAGGGGTGGAGGCTGTTTGGCGAGGCTTGCAGCAGAGTACAAGGCAGCATAGCTTTTGGTCAAAGTGATGCGAGGAGCCTGTTACCCAATGGGACAAATCACATGCAGCTCAGTGGTATAAAAATAGACAAAGTTAAGAACAAATCTTAGAGACTGACAAGAAAAACTACAGCAGTTCTCTTTTGTAAGAATGTCAGTGATGCAAGGTATAATTTTCCTGACAAAGCTATCCTCTGTGTGGTGCTGGTATAATGTTTGTTAGGGAAGATGTGTGGTTAGGTGCAAAAGACCATGGGTCACACTTGGTCTCGTACTAATGGTCAAAGTTTTTTTTTTAAATTATTAAGATCACATCTACATGATGCACATTTGACTGTGTGACGAGGGGTAACATGGTTGTGATACAGCTGTATTTATTCCTTGTCCATACTGGCAGTGAGAGGAAGCCTTCATAGTGCGACTGTCGCTATAAGAAATGGGGGACAAAACCCTCAGTTCTCCTTATGTGCAAAAATATATCCAGAATGTATTGTTTATCCTGACAGTTGAGGGCTGGTATATTACTGGTTGAATGAAAGGGTTACAAAAGTTACAAAAAAACGATCTAGTCGTGTGATGACTAAATACTGTTCATATATTGTATAGGGCATTTTAGAAAGCAATGAGGGACAACTTGTTCTGTTGTTTAGTTTGCAGAACAAACAGAATATTTGTTGGTATGGTGTTTTTTTCCACCTATAGTGTAACTCAGCCTGCAGGCTCAGCTCTGTTGACACTTGTACCACAACTCAGAAGTTTAGATTTATGTCAGAGTTATCTGTAAATCATTTTCTTTTACCATAGCTGCACTGAATTTGAGACATGAAAGCTGTTATGCACAGGTCCCTCGCATCAACAGTGGACACACAGGGTGAGTTTGGTATCAGCAGCAGCCATTGTTCCGGTCACAGGTCAGAGACATCTAATATTTCCTGTACCTTTGGTTAAACTACAGACGGCTGTTTCTGGCTGTAACACAGGGCTGATGGTCTCTGTCACAAATAATGGCCTGCTGCAGTTCTGCCCTTTGCTTGTGCAGTTATTAACAGTGTGAAGGAGGGCTGACATCATTACTCATATAAACAGCGTTCCTGCCCTGCTACGACTCATCTGCCATGTAACAAGCTGTGAAGGCCTCATGTCCACCAGCAGGGTGATGCTGTCATAGAGCCAAGCTCATCTGCCATATCAACTATAGTGCATTACATACAGAGCAGTACATCACTAGCAGTGTAGGCTGAATGACCACAGTCCTGTGATGTTATCATTCACAGCCTTCATACCCACACACATTTTGAACACTTTAAACAAGTAAACAGGCACACAATGGTATTATGCACACTAAGCAACTCAAGTGTTCAAACACAGGGCACAGAATCCAGACCATAGGAGAACTTAATGAAACTCTATTTAATAGCCAGTTGATTTAATGAGGTTTACCTGACATTCAGGATTGAACATCAATATCACATGTAGCAAAGTGTTCTTTGTATCTACCCTCATGCAGTAAGTCATAAAGCTTGTGACAATAACATGCAAAGCTACGAAATAACATAAGCACTACAAATGCTGGGCACATTGATAAGCCCAGCCAAGTGTGGTAATTAAAGTTCAGCCCTATGCAACGGAAGTCCCCACCCTCCCAAAGCCTCAATCCCCTGCCGTTGCTATGGCTTTAATGTGCAAGCTCTACAGTGTCAGCTCCACTCACAGCTAGACCATGATGCCCCACCCTTTTTGTTAGCAACAGGAAGTCTAGTTTACTGAAACATAGTGCTGTTTGCTAATTTACGCTCATACTCCAAATGCATTTAGTCAATTTTAAAATCCACTTTGGTTAGTTTAATGGCAGAAATATTGTCTCTGTACCAGGCAGACGATTCAAAAGGGTTGTATTTAGACTCTATACTTTTCATGCTTTAAGCATAATATACCATTAACGAGTGAGTGCCATTCCCTTTAAATTACATGTTGTAGTTGATTGCTATTTTAATGGTGGACTTGCAAAGTAGAGAGAGAGAATGTTTCTCTGCAGAGGAAACAGTATCAGTAAAATACTGCATCAATTATCAGGTTTTTGAGGCACTTTCCCCTGCATCAAGTTAGCATTTTGCCAACAATGAGCCTGACCACACCTCATTTTAGTATGAACACGCCCATGGGTGTTCAGGGGGACACAAGTGCATTTCTGTGAAAAATAAAAACTGTGTTGTTCTGAAACTAGCAATGATAAGTATGCTCACCCTTGACTTCTCTTCCAGACGGGTCATCATAACAATGGTGCAGGTTCTCTGCTCCCACACCATCCTCCAGAAATCAGTCAGTGTCTCTGGCAGCGGCCCCTGTGTGGCGATGTAAGCATTCTGCTTCCTGTAGCCATCAATGTAATTGGCATTAACGTAGTCGCTACCTGGAACTCCTGATGTGAAGACCAATTTGAACAGAAACAAATGAAAATAGGAGCCAATTAGAAAACAACATTTTCTTAAAAGCTTTATCTCTATTTACAAGGTTTAAAACAAAGGCCTGGTTCTCTCAGCATAAGGAAACATATGGGATGCCCCTTCCTGTGTGATGTCTCTCACCATCCACAGGTGTGAGGATGACCCTGGAGTGGTCATAAGCGATCACATTTGCATAGCGGTTCTTTGGCTTGTTAACTTCCAGGTTCGAGTGCTCCCAGGTGAACTGCTGCCCTGGATCAATAGACTGAGAGACAGGGAAGAGGAAAGAGGCCCACACACACACACACACACA